GTTCTAATTGGGCCTCTAGGTTACCAAGATGTATAATCTACCTTAACAGGTTCCATATTACCTCATCATTTACAGCTCAAATTTTCAGTTTCCTCCTTATTTCTAGTACCTAGAAGTTTCTCTTTGTTTCTTTCTTTCTCACATACTGAGTAATACTTTTTAAGTATTTTTGCTGTGTTTTATCTACTCTTTCTATTTCTGTTGAAAGAATTTCAGGTTATCTTAATCCATATCTCTTTAGGGATATATACCAGGGCCATTTTCCTATTTACAAGGGCAAAGAGCCCTTAATAAATAATGTATATTCTAACCTGGGTATTCAGAAGAACATATAAATGCCATATGTATATATGTATGTGTATATTTGTGTATGCATTTGGTAAGAATTTGAAACAAGCCTAACCACCATAGCCTACTTCAATTTGATAATTCAGAACCTTCGCATTAATCTTTTGGGAATTAACTGATGATTACTAATTTTAAACACTACTGAGGAGTAACAAGTTACACCTAAATTTCATTTCTGGTTAAGTTCCTCATTTAGGAATCATTTGAAAACTTACAAAATGTCACTTTTTTTAATGAGTTGTAGTAAAATCTGATTCAGTGGCTACTTTTTCAGAGATACAGAACTATACTGAACCACGTAGTGTGGCACCATGAGGAGAGAGAGAAAACGTAGGCTTTTAGGGAAAGAAAGACTAGGTTTGAGTTCTAATTCCAGCACTCTTAACAAGTCATATAATACTCAGAATAAGAAATATACTCACATAGACTGGCCGGTGTGGCTCAGTGGTTGAGCATCAACCTATGAACCAGGAGGTCACAGTTTGATTCCCGGTTAGGGAACATCCTCAGGTTTTGGGCTTGATCTCCATTAAGGGGGCATGCAGGAGGCAGCCCTTCAATGATTCTTGTCATTGATGTTTCTCTCTCTCCCTCTCCCTACCTCTCTGAAATAAATAAAAATATGTTTTTTTAAAAAAAGAAATATACTCACATAAAAATTGCTAGTCTGCAGAATACTCGGAACTTCAGATGTGTAACTGTTGAACACTGATAATTCCACTATTTCATCTATCAAATATGTAATGAATGCCTGTCATATGTAAAATAGTATCCTAGATGTTATAGGAGTATACAGAGTTCTTCCCTATGAGATCTTACAGGTCAGGCAGGGCGCAGTAAGTTAAATATACAAAGTAGTGAGTACAAAGCTGTGTAAGAGCAGTGACAGTTATGCTACAGATGAAAGGCTCCAGTGGAGGCTATTAGTTCCAAGCAGTCCAGCTTCTCACTTTAGTGTGACAAAGGGTGTTTTCATATCAGGCAGCCAAGCCAGAGCCCAGGCAGCACCCGAGGGAGACCCATTCCTGAATCTGATTATCCAGCTGTTCTACCTCTACATAATCAACATGTGTTTCTAGTCACTTTGTCTGATGTGTCCTCTCAGATTTAGCAAGGGGATCCTTCATAAGGACATTCTTTGTAGGACACAGGAGAAGTTCCAGGAGGCACATTTACAAGTTATAGGAACACAGTTAGACATGAAATGTTAATCACAATACCTGGGGTTTTCTTAAAAATCTAATCATATAGGATAATGCAGGGAAAGCATTCAAGCAGTGTTCTCTAAATCCAGAAATTAGAGATGACTGTGAACAGGACAGTTGGAGAGACAAGCCAGAAAAGAAGAGCCCCGGCTGGTTGGCTCAGTGGATAGAATGTCAGCCCAAGGACTGAAGGGTCCTGGGTTCAATTCTGGTTAAGGGTATGTACCTCCATTGCAGGCTGGATCCCAGCCCTGGTCGGGGAGCATGCAAGAGGCAACCAATCGATGTGTCTCTCTCACATCGATGTTTCTCTCTCACATCAATGTTTCTCTCTCAAAACAAAAGACGGAAAAGAAAAAATAATAGCCATTCACAAGCAACATCCAACACATAAAAAACTATAAATATGATAAGTTGAGGAAAATTCATCCTGAGCCAGCCCTTCTGTCTGGGATGATCAGAGGCAAGGGTAAAAGCATTGGATTGTAGGGAAGGAGGAAGGGGGAGGGGTAGGAAACTGTCAGAAGACTTGGATTCAAGTATAAACCCTGCCACTGACTAACAAGTAGTCTTGTGTAAATCACTTACCCTCATATGGTTTCATTTTCTTCATCTATACAGTGGCTCTTTGGATATGTTGGTCTCTTATATTTCTAAAGGTAAATGAAAAAGTTGGTAGGATTTTGAGTGTAAAGCTGATGGAGCAGGAAGTCTTTCAGGTGGAGAAAGCCACATTATTTAAGGAACAAAAGGAAAATAATGTAAAACTTGAACACTGGGCTCTTCACAATAAATCATTTGATTCCATAAAATAATGATGAAGGTGGTCCAAGCATTAGTAACCATGTCTTCTCCTATTAAACTATGGCCTGCTTATATAGCCCCAGTGCTAGTGTGATGCCTAGTATAAAATTGGTGCTTAATGGATATTTGTCAGAGGGAAGGGAGGGAAGATAAATGGACGGGAATTAGGGGAGAAGGGAAGGAAGCATGTTAGCCAGTTCAGGAAGTCCTCTCACAGTAGGTGCCACATTTTGTGGCAGGGATCCCTGTATTTAATGTTCTTTCATATCTGCAGGTCTGTTTTAAAACAGAGCTGTTTACTTAGAATGCTTTTATTATAAACTGTATTTGTGCTCACAGGGCTCCAACTATGGTGACTTTTGGAAGGTTCCTTTGTTGTGTACATAGTGTCATAACAGGTCATCTCTGCCCGGCCAGTCAATGTCATGGACTCAGATGGGGCTGCTTTATGGATGAGCTATATCTTTTTCCTCCTTAATTTTTACTGCAGACAATAAATATTTTATGCCTGGAAAGACAACTCATTTATTCAACAGGTGCTTATTAAACACCTCCAAAAATCTAGGCACTGTGTGAAATACTTGGAATGCAGAGGTGTAAAATATAGACAAGGTCCCTGCCTTTATGATGCTTTCAGTGTCATCGGAGAATCTCACATTAAATAAAAAATTATATTATAATGAATGCAATTGTAACAAATGTTTTAAAGGGAATGTACAGAATGAGAAAAACCTGCATTAATTTGGAGGAGTAGGATCAGGAAAGGAAAGTAAAATTAAAATTTTTAAAGACTGTAAATATTTTATCATCTGAAATATAAAAGGATAAGATTACCCCATAAGTTGTTGATTATATTAGGTATATCTAAATTTGGAGAAATAGACTTGTCCACAGAAGTATAGAATCATTAGAAATTCAATCCTTTAATAAATGACTGAAAAGGGAGACATTATTTACCCAAGAACACACAGCTTGCTTCTGGCAGGACTAGAACTTGAACATGGGTCTGCTACTCCTCCCATTACCTCTCCTCAGTGACTTAAAAAAAGAAGACATTATATATCAAATATAGATCAGCCATAGCCATTCTGTACAAACTTGTATATTGAGTGGGGGACGGAGTTTAGAGAGTAATAAGTTAGGCAAATGCAAATATAAAAATATATATAAAATATGTCCTATCAGGCTTATTGTACCTGGTCATAGTAAAGCTGTAGCGTATAAACCAAAGTGGGAACTACCCAGTTGAATTAGTGAAGATACATTTAAAGGAATATGTTTCTATTTCTTTAAAATATAAATACTGATGAATAAGTACAAGTTGCCAAGTAGAAGTTTTTAAAACCCATTTTATTCATGTGTAATATTATATGACATGTAAATTATTTTGACTGCTTTGCAGCCTGTGTGGTCTCAGTTAGGTTAATCATTGTTCCTTATATTTTGTTCCAACATATATTTTCCCTAGGATACTTTTTCATTTTAGATAGTATAGCAATTAGCTTCAACATCTAAATCTTCCTATTTTTTTACTTGAAAGATTTGGAATTAATGAAATATTACTGTTCATACAAGTGATTGTGAAATTAATTGAATCATTGAAGCTATAAGGTGTATGAGACTTCAGGGAGAAGTTCAGGCTTGAATTAGAAAGAGCACCTAAGACAGTGCTGAGCATATACTCAACCTTGAGTGAGCATATAATGAATAGGGGAGACAAAAAGTTACAAAGTATTAAGTTAAACCATATGAAATTCCATTTTTAACATCAAAATAGCTAAACATTTGTGACTTTGTGATTCAGCCTATTAAACAAAATGACCAAAAAGGGCATCTATAGTCTAATGCCAACAGATGTGAGTATTTATTAAATTTTAAGTACATGTATATTGACTATACTCTAGAATTTAATAAATGAGAAGTTCTGACAGTTGAATTAACTTTTAATTTTGTATGAAATTACAATTTAAATGTAGGCAGGTGGCATAATTATTTCAGAAGCTAAAAATATTCTAAAAGATCTAGAGAACTTCTGAGTTATTCACACTTCATGAGTGTGAAGGTATTGAGGAAATACTTATTTGATAACCAAGCTTTAGTGGTGTGGTATGGACTGAAGTTAACTAGGGTATTTTGCTTTTCAGACTCTCCTTATGCTGACCAGGATATTACTCCCAAGTCCTTTATTCTCTCCCAGTTCTTAGTCCCAATGCTGACATTCTCCAAGTTTATCTTAGAAAAATCAGGTGGAAAACAGGGAACTAATCATTATAAAAATGAACTGGTCAGGTGCTTTGCTTGACAGTTTATATATTATTGCATTTAATTTTCACAACAACCCTATGGGACAAATATTATTTTTATTTTATAGGTGAAGAACTGAGACCTAGAAAGGTTAAATGACTTGTCCAAGGTCACACAGTTTGTTAGTGGTAAAGAGCTAGTCTTCAAACATTCTTATTTTCACTATATACCATGCAACTCATCTTATTGTTTGTTTGCTTATTTATATTTTATGCATCTTAAAAGTATCTTGTTTACTTATAATAAATTCACACATGAGTAAAACAAGGAGATTGCCACTTTTTCCTTTTAAAAATGTAATATGGTAAAACACATTTGAATCTTTTCCTTTCTTTTAAGGATGAACGTGAAGCGAGAGAAAATGTGAAGAGAGAACAAGATGAGGCCTATCGCCTTTCACTTGAGGCTGACAGAGCAAAAGTAGGTTTGGTCAAGGGACTTCTGGGATAAAGAACTCAAACCAGAATGTTTTTTCATTACTTAAGTGCCAGCCCTTTTATCACTTTGATCCCCAAAAATGTTGGGTTTGCAGTAGAGAAAGCTAGATTCAATTAACAGAAAAACATAATTTGACCCCTGGGTCCTTAAAGTATGGTATGGTTCATTTTGACAAGATGAAGTTTGTTGAGAATCATAAAAATGAAAACAAAATGGGCATATTATCTGTTTTATTTAATTTTAGTGAGTCTAGGGTACAACCTAACAATTTTTAAAACACTTTTAGGTGATTCTAATGTGCAGTCAGGGTCGAGAACCACTGATTTATTTAATGCTTTTTGAGCACCTGCTTCTGTACTGGGCATCGAAAGAGTGTAAAATGAATGAGCCACAGTTTCTGCCCTCAAAAATGTGGTAAAGAGTAGATTAAGTCAAGAGCACAGATAGCTGTAACACTTAGGCAAGGATTCTAAATGTCATAAGTGAAGCACTAAGTTCTGTGAGAATTCAGTGAACAGGAGTTCAGTAGAAAGTTTTTGGTGTTTGTTTGTTTAGCTTTTCTGAAAAGCCAAGAAGTGAGAATGGACTGGGGAGGGATCCATAGAAGAGACTGTATATGTGAACTGGATGAAGAGGGGTGGAAGAGAAAAAGTAATATTTGCTAACAGCAAGGGTGCATGGTAGAGGCTGACATGAATAAAGCTTGATATTTGGGTAAAGGAAACATAGCCAAAAATACTAGAAAGGAAGATGAGACAACGGTTCTAATGAATGCAACACTACTCAGAGCTACCTAGGTATTTGAATAGGAACCCAACATGAACAGAGAGCTATGCTTTGTTGTTGCTTTCATTTTTATTCTTATTCCAGAGAAAATACTATATTACCACAGTGCACCTCTGGGTCATGCTGGGACTTAGCTCTCTCTTTTTTCTTTTTTTTTCTTCCTCCTCCCCCCCCCTCCTCCTCCTCTTTTTTTTAAGTGTTTATTGAATGCTGGCTCCCTTTCTCTTTTATCAACAGAGGGAAGCTCATGAGAGAGAGATGGCAGAACAGTCTCGTTTGGAGCAGATTCGAAAAGAACAAGAAGAGGAACGTGAGGTATGGCACAACTTAAAAATGTAATTCAAAGGCTAGGTTTGTGTCCTCTGCATTTGATACTGAGGCTGTTAATAGTTCTTAGAACTTCTTTCCACATTTCCCAGACTCATTTTAATATGGAAGATCTTATCCTTTCCTAATCTGTTGTATAGAACTCTTAGAAAACTTGATCTTAGACTAGATTCATAGGTTTCTATTCCTTTCCCTTCTTCTTGCCTGACAAATACTCCCATTCTTCCTGGATATTGTCTCACCCCAAAAATACAAAGATTCTATTGTCAACCTTTTTTTAGCTTTTTTTTTAAAATCTTTATTGTTGAGAGTATTACAGATGTTCCCTTGTTATTCCCCCTTTGCTCCCCTCCACCCTGTTCCCACCCTGCCCCAGACCTTCATCGCTCTATTGTTGTCTGTGTCCATAGATAATGCATATATGCATGTAAGATCTTTTGGTTAATCCCTTCCGCCCCACCCCCACCCCCACCCTTTCCCTCTGAGATA